AAAGATCAACAACTCGTTTGATCAGATTCGTGACAATATGATAAGTTTTATAACATCTTATTGATTGTGCATGACATGTGTTTATTGGATAGATAATATATTGACACATGTTAATTCTTATTTTATAAATAAAGCTACATATGATTCATAAAATAACAGTTTATATGGTTATTTTGTATATTTTTTTGAATGTTTTATATTTTTGTTAAGATTAGTTTAGATTTATAAATATCAAATTATTACATTAATATATTTATCGTTCTACATTTTCACATAATTATGAGATATAACTAAAATAATAATAATAAGACTTTGGCAATAGAAAAATCGATATAGTATATATATTAGTGGTCAACCTCTTTGCTGAAAAATATGGTAAAGACACATATAAAAGATAAATAAAAATTGATATAATTTCGACGTATAAATTTCTATTATTTTTAAAAGTTTCACAGTTATTATTCACCTAATCAATTGAAATTTCATGGTTATGTAATATACCTAGATACTTCAAAACAAAAGTGTTAAAAACGTTGATGCTGGTGCATGTTGAGGAATCTTGGAGTGTATCTGAATGGTATATAAGTTATAAAAGTTCTACTTGTCTCCAAACATATATCTCCAAGGAACCAAATATGGAAAGTTTCATTTTCGGCAGCATATGGCCCTCGGGTAAGGTCAAATGAGTAAGTGCAAATCCAACTCGAACCATGGGTGCTTTGGCTCGATCATTATGCTCCATATAGTTTATTTAATGGTGAATAATGAAGCCGAGGTCAAATGCACGAGTGGATTCTTTAAACTGCTGCTTAGCTCGCCTTTGTACATGTCCGAGGAGGCTGTCATGGCCATATCTCAAAATGCCTCTATGATGGACTGATGTTTCTCGATCATTCCTCTTAAAATGTCCATATTTTGGATGGGTTTCGAATCCCACCTTGAATGGACGTGTGGTTTGGTCGGTGGTTCCATACGCTTGCTTGTGGTACGATGGAAACTGGTCTTCATGAACCATCTTGAAATCAGGTCGTTCGTCTTTAATTCTGGCTAGATAGATCTTCTGTAATGTGTATCTTGCTGATGAATCTTCATTATAGGTCAAGGAGAGTCTTCATGTGGTCGATGGATGGTAAGGTACGGATGGGTCTTAGTGGACAGTCTTAATTCTGAATCGTTGATTTCTGTTTCCTCCTGAATCGTTAGTCTTCTTAGGGTTTATTTATGGTAAATAATCAATCCTAGGCCATTTGCTTCATCGGAACTCTATTTGGGCAAGAATCATTCATTTTTGTCTGGTATGGTTGGTTTGAGGCTTGAACCGGCTGGTCTGGTTTGATCTTGGTATGGTGTGGTTTGGATTTCCGCATCAAAGCTCCATACTCATATCCTAGCCACCAAAAAACCCAACACAACTACCACAATACCCAAACAAAGCCAAAACACAACAATTCCAGCCACCCATATCAACCAAACACACATCATAAGGTCTTATGCCCAGATCAACAATGGTCACGCACTCACCTTAATATGAATTGACAAAAACATAGAGGAAGAACCCTCCTACAACCTCTCCTGATACCTCAGCCACGAACCCCACTAATCCCTTGCTAGAACACCCAAGAACAGCCACAGAAACCTCCAGGAAACCCTCTAGAAACCTCTTCTTAAGCCTCAGGAACAAGCCGACAACTTAGATCAGCCATGGTCACGCACTCACCTATGATCTGTGATGTTTAGAAGAAAAAAATGGGAAGAACACAGAAAGACATAACCCTATTGACACCAACAGCCTTGGATCCCCTCTTCTCCATGCTAGAACACAAAAGAATAGCTCTCAAACACCTCCATAACCTTCTAGAATCTCTCCTTAAACCTCATGAAGAAATCCAACACCCTAACTCTTTCTCTTAGCTTTTTAGGAAACAACAAATTTAACAAAATGAGTAGAGAACTGTTGCTTTCGAATTTAAGTTGAGGTGTGGAACTTACTAACCAGTAATACTATAAAAATTAAACCGTAACGAAACCAAAATATAAATGGTTTTTTTATAAAATTTCAATTCTGTAAAACCTGGACCCCAACTCGCTGAAACATGAAATTAATCCCAAGTTGCCAAAACGACAAATTTGATGGTTTCGATCAACAACAAGTGTTGGCCAATACCGCCAATTTCTGGACACATGTGTTACAATACTACTAGCGAGTTACAAGAATAAATACCTAAAATTATAGGATTGATCTACTAAAACAAAGATTTTTGGCATTTTCTATTTATTCGTTTATTTCATCGTTCCTTTAAAATATACCATTTGAGCCTCATGTAAAGCAAGTCAATATTTT